AATGAAGAAGAGGAATCTGCGAGTGTGAACAAATAGGTGCTCCAACCATTATTCAAACGCGAGACATTCTGCTGTATATCCAGACACCTTAACCAACTGGGCAATTGAGGCTTTGTTAGGAATCGGGACTAGTCTCCTCCTACCGTTGAACACAGCTTGACTATCCTTAACTATTTGGTAAATTAGATTCGATTGGAGTTGTGGTTTTAATTTGTCTAATGCATGAAATAAAAATAAATATAAGCATTAATGTCGAGATTTGTGTTCCTTCATAGGGACCATAACGGCAGGAGCCCACTTCATCTCGCTGCAATGGGAGGCTACACAGATACAATGAATGTACTACTCTCGACCAATTCACATTTGCTCAACCAGACAGATGATTTTGATGTAAGTCTCAAATATGTTAATCTTATAATCTTTCTCTTCTTTCTTTCTTTCTTTCAAGACATTTATTAACTTCCATAGAACACAAAACGATGCAATACAATAAGGTTTAAAAAAAAACAAAACATAAACTATGGAAGAAGGCATGATCCCGAGAAGATAAAGATCTTGTGATTGGCATGCCTGAAAAAGAAAAAAAAAAGTAGTGTCATCGGAATTGAGGAAAAAATTGAGAATTGAAGAAGAAAGATGAATGTCATTAATATATAAAATAAATAAGAGGGGCCCAAGTAAAGAACCTTGAGGAACACCACAAGTTACTGAACTGAAATTTGAAGTTGAATTACAATATTTTGTACAATGAGCACGATTAGAGAGATAACTTTTGAAGAGCTTATATTATGCAGGTCCACAAATTCCATAGTGAGATAGTTATGTGAGAGTATATTGTGGTCGATAGTGTCGAAAGCCTTGGAAAGATCAATAAAGATTCCAATAGAAAAATGGCAATTTTCAAATGCAGCTACAACTTTGTTAGGTCAATGAGGGCCATGGATGTACTGTGACCTTTTCTGAAACCATATTGTTTATTGTAGAGAATGTTATACTTGGAGATAAATGAAAATGTTGATCGTAGATTACTCTTTACAAGGCTTTCGAGAATATGGATAGAATCGAGATAGGGCAATAGTTTGAAAGATCAGATTTATCACCAGACTTATATATAGGGGTAACGAGCGCTAAATTCATCCTGACTGGGAACACACTAGAAAAAGTGAGAGATTAAAAATATGGGATAATGGGAAGGAAATAATATTTGCAATGTATTTAATGGGTTTAGTATGAAAGTCATCAATACCTGGAGATTTGTTGGAGTTAAAAAGAGGTAAGTATTTTTTATAATTTCAGCCTCATCTGGGGTAAGAAATAATGAGTTTGGAGTTGTGTTAGGTAGGAAGTCTTTAAATGATTTGGTGGCATGGGGATTTTGCTAGCAAGGGACGGTCCAATTTCTACGAAGTGCTTATTAAATGAGTTGGAGATTTTTTTGAGGATCTTGGGTCGTTGTGCCTTCACAATTTAGGGAGGTAACTGATTGTTGTTTATTTGTTTAATTTAGCAGCAAGTTAATGGTTTTCCATGTAGCCTTGATATCATTTTTATATTTGAGAACAGTATTATGAAAATGCTTACCCGGTATATGTGGCCGTCCTAATTAGAGAGTTTAACTTGTTATGGAATTGTTTGTAGGCTTTCTCGTTAGCGGTAGATGGGTAGTGAAGGAATTTAGCGTAAAATTTATGTTTATATTTAATAGATTTAAGTAATCCATTAGACATCCATGGCTTAATTTTTCTCTCTTTTTTATTACATGATTTTGAAGTGGGAAATGCTTATCATAAAATGATTTTAGTGTGTTTTCAAAGTTGGTCTAAGCAATATTGGGATGATGGGTATTAATAACATTGGGCCATTGCTGAGCAGCCACTTCATGGCGGAATTTTTCTAAGGCTGAAGAGTTATATTTTCTGAAGCTAGGCATATATATATTTCTTCCTTATCTGAGCCATTTGCACCATTAGAAATGTAAGTAATATTAAAAACAGGTAAATGATCAGAAATATCACTGTACAATAGCCCACTTAAGTTGGGATGTTCGACCTGATTGGTGATAATGTTATCTAACAGGGAAGCAGTGGTTTTGGTGATACGAGATGGTCTATGGATAAGGGGAAGGTAATGGTTGCTAAACAGTGAGTTAACAAAATGGCGGGCGTCACTGTCAGATTCATGTTTGAGGATATCAATATTAAAATCGCCGAGGATAAACGATTTTATTCTCTCTTGATGGAATAGAGTCAAGTTCATCAGTAAATTTCTTAGGCAAGGCAGGTTGATCTATAAAATGTACCAATAATAATGTTTTTTTAAATGAGGCCTATTTATTTCAATAAAAATGGATTCACAAGTAGAGGGGAGTAGACTAAGATCATCTCTTATGGAAAATTGAAGGCTATCACGAACATACAGGGCAACGCCACCACCGTCCTTGTGAGTTCTAAGGACGGGAACAAAGTGATAATTGGGGAGTTCAACTAGGGGATTATTAAAT